CCCACAAGGATCTCTGGAATGTATCCCACCCTGGCTGTTTTGTAACCCACCCTACACCAGGTGCGGATGGCTACAATTGTCTGCCTTATACATCTTTTATCTCTATGATTTCGCAGCAGCTCAATAAACAGTTGTGGAATAAGTGAAATAAATGGGAAAATATATGTTAAGTGTCAGAAAAAGAGCTAAGATGATCCTTTACAAGCGTGTTTATTCCCCACCCCCACACACACCAGGAGGGTTTACTTTTCAAAAAGAAACTGTATCTTTATAAACAATGTAAATATGCCTACCTTGCTACAGTTTATGCTGATGGTTACATTTTACATTTCTATAAAGAAACAGGGGTCATCTTTGCCCCTCTTTGCCCCTCTGTCCAACATTTGTTAGTGTCATTCTTCTCAGTGTTCTTGGCTTTCTGAAGCCTGGGCATGGAGGTTCACACCTGTTTCTAAAAGAGCCTCCAAAATCAAAAGAGGTCAAAATAGTTGTCCACAGTCTTCAGAAAACATATCTGCTTAGAAACATTTCTACCAGTGAAGATAATGTTGAGGGAGAAATGATCACAGAATAACATATATAATATGTGCCATACAATCCATTTACGGAAAACTGTATAAATCCACAACAATCTATATATAAATATATGTGCAAAGTAATAATGTTCATCAAAATGCAAACAATGGGGGTGCCTGGGTGGCTCAGACGGTCGAGCATCCAACTCTTGATCTTGGCTTAGGTCATGATCCCAGGGTGGTGGGATCGAGCTCCGAGTCGGGCTCTGCGTGGAGCCTACTTAAGATTCTCTCTCTCCCTCTGCCCCTCTCCTCAGCTCACGCTCTCTCAATAAACTAAACTAAACTAAAATAAAATAACATAAAATAATAAAATAAAAGCAATCTCTGGGCTGGAATTGACACTTTCTTTGTATTTTTTCTTTTTAACTTTTATTTATTTTTTTTTTCAACGTTTATTTATTTTTGGGACAGAGAGACAGAGCATGAACGGGCGAGGGGCAGAGAGAGAGGGAGACACAGAATCGGAAACAGGCTCCAGGCTCTGAGCCATCAGCCCAGAGCCCCACACGGGGCTCGAACTCACGGACCGTGAGATCGTGACCTGGTTGAAGTCGGACGCTTAACCGACTGCGCCACCCAGGCGCCCCTCTTTTTAACTTTTATAATGAATAGCTATTATTTTTACAAAACCAAGCAAGTTGTTTTTCAAAGAAAAAGGTTTTTTTCTCCAAAATTATCTCTATCTTAGCCTTAATTACATTTCACTTTCGCTGATATTTTTTTTTCCTTTTCTTTCTTGCTATCATCTTGTCTGTGGAAACATATTAAAACAGTGCCTACCATACAATCATGACTCCTGACTGGTATAATCAGGTTCAGAGTTCTATTTTTCCTCCCCTTGGGGGGAGTTGCTATTAAATAAACTTAAAAGGGGTTTTCCCAGTGAAAGTGAATGGAATGATTCTCTTTCCCCTAATCTTAATAATCTTCATCGTCATCACTTCCAGCTGCTGCTCCGCCTAATGCCTATGGAAGTTGTGTTCCTTTGGTGCAAATCTCTTCCCCTCCCTGGGTGTCCATGATCCTGTCCCTTAGAGTTCACATTCCATGGAACACACTGGGTGCTCACTAAACATTTATTTTTTAATGTTTATTTATTTTGAGAGAGAGACAGAGACAGAAAGCGGGATGGGCAGAGAGAGAGAGAGAGAGAGAGAGAGAGAATTCCAAGCAGACTCCCTGCTCAGCACACAGCCGGATGTGGGGATCTCACAACCCTGGGATCCTGACCTGAGCCAATATCAAGAGTCGGACGCTCAACCGACTGAGCCACCCAGGTGCCCCTCGATAAATATTTACTAAACCGAAAAGGGTGCAAGCATTACCCCAGCAGGCTCCATTTGAGGAAAGGAGGGAGTGAGGGGGCAAGGGAAAGAGAGGAGGAACTGCAATTCTAAGGGCTGAGGGTCGGGGTGGGGGGGGGGCGCCTTACATTTGCCCCCTGCAATATTCTACCTTCCTCGCCTCTGGGAGGCTGGTCACGTTCACTCGCTGCAAACATTTCCCCAGTTTGCCTGTAGGTTGTCAGCGTCTTTGCCTCCCTTGTGTTGACCCGCCTTTGCCAGCTCGGTGACATCATTATCATGGGAAGGAGGACATCACACACCTGCCACCTGAAAGACAGACCGTAGACACCGTTAGGAACCTGCCGGACGGCACAGAGGGATAAGGTGGCCGCAGAGGCAGAGGCGGACAGTAAAACCGAGCTAGTGTTACACGGTCCCGCACAAGGAAGCGAAGCGAAGCGAAACAGTTTCCCTCTCGAAGCCTGCAACAAACCTCACAGGAGCCCCAGCTCCGTCTGGAATTGGAAGTGGGTGGGGATTTTGACCAGCTCTCCCCTCCGCCGCCTCCAAAGTTCCAACGAAGCCCTGGGCCCTGGCGCATCCGGGAGTCCCTCCTCTGCCGGGTGGGTGACCTGGTCTGACTCCCGCCTGCCCCCGGGGCCTCCCAAACTCGAGGCATCCTTCTGTGACCTCATTCTCTGCCCCGGGTGCCCCGTGCCACTCTGTGACTCCATCAGGGTAACACCCGCTTCGGCTGCCACGCGTCAGACGTGGGGAGCCGCCTCGCAGATCAAGCTGGGGGAGTGGTTGAGGGCTGAGCTCTGCGCCGACCGTCGCCGCACCTGACCGTGGCGCGCCTGCTTCCCCGCGCACCGGAGGACGGGCCTCCGGCTCCTTCCTCCCCCACCCCCCACCCCCACCCCCTCGAGAGGTGTCCGAGATCGGCTTCCCGGACGCCCCCGCCGCCGCGCCTGGAGCGTCCCCGCGGCCCGGCTCGGCGGCCGATGGCCAGCAGGACCGCAGCGGGGGCCCGGCTGCCGGAGCGGCCGGGGCCGAGGCGGCGCGCCGGGAGCCCGCGGGCGCAGGGGAGGCACCTGCTCTGCAGCTTGCCGGCGGCGCAGACCCTGGCCAGGGTCATCCGGCCTTGCTACGGCCCCCACGGCCGGCAGAAGCTCCTGGTCACCGCCAGAGGAACCACCGTGCTGACGGGCTACGCCGCGGCCATCCTGCGCGCGCTGGAGCTGGAGCACCCCGCGGCGCGGCTCCTGCGCGAGGCGGCCCACACGCAGGCGGAGAGCAGCGGCGACGGCGCGGCCTTCGTGGTCCTGCTGGCGGAAGCGCTGCTCCTGCAGGCCGAGCACCTGCTGCGCGCCGGCCTGCCCCGCTCCCAGCTGCGCGAGGCCTACGCCGCGGCCACCGCGGAGACCCTGGCCCTGCTGCCCTCCCTGGCCATCCGCTCCCTGGGGCCTCTGGAGGATCCGTTTGGGGCCCTCTACTCGGTGGTGAACACCCACGCCGTGTCCCGGGCCGACTGCTTGACCAAGCTGGTGGCCCACGCGTGCTGGGCCACCAAGGAGCTGGACGGCGGCTTCCGACGCGAGCGCGTGGGCGTGTGCACCCTGCGAGGGGGGAGGCTGGAGGACTCGTGCCTGCTCCCGGGGCTGGCCTTGTGCGCCGAGCCCTGCGGGCAGGTGACCGCGGTGCCCGGCGGCGCCAGAGTGGCTCTCTTCGTTTGCGGCTTTGGTCCCACCAGTCCAAATGCACCGGCCACGGCCCGGCTCTCCGGCCCCGCTGACCTGGCCACGTTCAGGAAAGGAAGTGAGCGGTTGATAGAAAAGCAGGTGGCCCAGCTGGCCAGCGCGTGCATTAACGTGGCGGTGGCATGGGGGGACATCGATGAGAATGCCCTGACGCAGGCTGACAAGCACAACATCATGGTGATTCGAGCCAGGTCCCGGAGGGATATGGTTTACTTGAGTGAGGTGCTGGGCACACCTTTGATGTGTCACCTGCTTCCTCCCCCGAAGCCAGGGAAGTGCCGGAGGGTCTACCAGCAGGAGCTGGGGGAAGGTTTGGCCGTGGTGTTTGAGTGGGAATGTCCGGGCACCCCTGCCGTTCCCTTGGTCCTCAAGGGGCCACAGCCCAGGGGCTGCAGGGCACGGAGCAGGCCGCCTACGTGGCATCGATGCCTGCTTCCAGCTGTGCCAAGATCCCAGGCTGCTTCCGGGAGCAGGGGCCACGGAGATGGCTCTGGCGAAAACGCTCTCAGAAAAAGGAAGCAAACTGGAAGGGCCTAACGGTCCTGCCTCCCTGGCATTTGCACAGGCCCTTCGGTCTCTTCCTGAAACCTTGGCAGAGAACGCAGGCTTAGCCGTCTCCCAAGTGATGGCAGAGATGAACAGAGCTCACCAGGCTGGCAACTTCCTAGTAGGAGTGGGGGTCGAAGGGATAATAAACGTGGCCCAGGAAGAGGTGTGGGACACCCTGACAGCCAAAGCCCGAGGACTCCGGGCCGTAGCTGATGTGACACTGCAGCTCGTGAGCGTAGACGAAATTGTAGTGGCCAGGCAAAGCGCCACGTATCAACGGGACTCGAATCCTGTCCCCAAAAAGGCCAAGGGATGCCTGTTTCCTGTAAAAGATCAGCTCCTTGGAACGACTGAGTAGTAACATCCTCAATAAAATGGGGATTGCCAAGGAAGGCACAGTCACCCCCGAAATGGGTGTTTGCCGTGTTTTATTCCCTCCGTGTTTTGTACTGTTAGAGTCCGTTTCTTCAGACAAAAACAACAGAAAGGACCATAAGATAAAAGTCCTTTTCATTGATTTATGTCCTTTCAGACTCTTGGCTTTTTTCATTTCCTGTTTCTCTCCATCATATTCTGTTCCTTTCCTCCAATAAGAGCAGGATTTACTTGTATTAAA